TTAGGATGTAACCCCACCACAATTTGAGGAGCACCCTTCCTGTCACCTGACCGCACGCCATACCACTGTCCTCTGTTTATTAATCTGTAGCACACTGCTCCCAAAACACACTAAGATTGTTTGCACTTGGTATTTGCTTTGTCAGGCTCCTAAACTGAGTGGATCTTATTAATAACTCAGGCTTCATTCACGCACACTCAACCTCATTCATCAGCCATCCTATTTGCTGTGCTTCCAAAATGTATCCCAAATACTACAAATTACTTCTATCTTTATCATTACTGCCCTGGTCTATGATAGTATTCTAACTGGAGCAGCTATATGAGGGCGGGTTGATTACCTGTGTGCATCTCAGGGTCCTTGAAGTTCTGTGGTGTCATGTCAGTAGTCACTTCTATATCCAGGATCTTCTTTTCCCCCCATATCTGGTTATCTGTAAGACCTGGTATGGAGATGGCAGAGCCACAACAGATTGGATACATTATTCACTGCTTGTAGGGAGCATCCTGGAGTGTTCTGGGAGCTGCCCCAGACTGTGTGTGCTTCTGTGCTTTTTTGGTTTTCATATTTTTATTTTTGTTCTGCACTATTTTAGTAATTTCCCCAAGACTTCCTTTGATCCATGGATTATTTAGAACTATGCTAATAGCAAGTGTTTGAAAGTTTTCATATTACCCTTCTGTATTGATTTCTAGGTTAACTGCATCATGGTCTGAATGTACTTTTATGATTTCAATACTTTTAAATATCTTAAGATTTGTTTTATGATCTATGATATGGGCTATAGTAAGTGCCTAGTATTGTACCACAGAGCTCTAGAACTTCACCAACTTCAAAATTTATAACTCTGAGCCCACTGAATGTAGTCCCCACATCTCCCTCCATCCCCTGGCAACCATCCTATGTTCTTTCAGAGTGTGACTACTTATCATAAGAACTCTAGCTTTCTAATAGTGTTTGCATGATGGTTTTTCTAACTTTTCACTTTAAAAAACTTCAGTCATAATTCATTCAAAGTGTACAGTAAAATGGTTTTTAGTATATTTACAAACATAGGCAATCATACCCCTACCTACAGAAAATTTCATTCCCCTCAAAAGGAAACTTTCTTTTTGTAGGAGTCACTCTCAATTCCTCATTTCCAACATCTGAGTATCATTAATCTTTGCTATGCCTCGATGGAACTGCCTATCCTAGATATTTCACATAAATGAAAGCATACAATTTCTATCCTTTTTTGACCAGAATCTTTCAGCTAGTATAATCCTTTTCAATATTCAAACATATTGTAGTACATTGCATATTGTAGAGCATTTGCCACAGTTAGTTTCCTGATTCTTTTGTTGGTGAACGCCTGAGCTGTTTCTTTCTTTTTTCTTTCTTTGTTTTTGAGATGGGTCTGGCTAAGTAGTTCAGATTGGTCTTGAACTCACCATGTAGCTCAGGCTGGCCTTGAACTCACGGTTCAAGGAATCCTCCTTCCTCCCAAGTGCCAGAATTACAGGTATATGCCACCATGCCTAGGTTCTGTTTGGTTTTATTAACATATAGTTACGAACTTCGTGTAGTTTTCATGAACATGTTTTCAGTTCTCACCTAGGAGTGGAATTACTTGGTCTTACAGTAAATCTGATGTTTACTGTTTTCTAAAGTGGCTTGTGCCATTTTACATTCACAACAGCAAAATATAATTGTTGTAGTTCTTTATATCTTCATCAACTTCTGCTGTTGTTCATCATCTTGACAATATTATGAAAAGTGGTATCTCACTGTGGTTTTGAATTACATTTCCCTAATGGCCAAATGTAGATTTAGATTTTAGATTTAATGTAGAGCAACTCTTCATGTGCTTACTGGCCATTTGTATCTCTTTTGAGAAATATCTAGTCAAACATTTTGTTCAGTTTTAAGTTGGATTATCTTTTTATTCCTGAGTTGTAAGAGTTCTTTATATATTCTTGATACAAGTTTCATCAAATATATGATTTGCATTTTTCTTCCATTTGTGTGTGTTTTAAAAAATTTTCTTGATGGTGACCAAATGTTTTAAGTTTTTATGAAACTTTATTCTTTCCTCTTTTTGGTGTGGTACCTAAGGTTTTATGTAACTGCATATTATAAATACTTCTGTTTTCTGTGAAGAGTTTTATAGTTTTAGGTTTTACATCTACTTTTCTGATCTAATTTGGATTATTTTTCGTGCAGTGTAAGGAAATGGTGTATGTCCATTCTTTTGCATGTGGATGTCCTAGCACCACTTGTTGAAAAAGACTATTCTTTCATTCAAGTGTCTTGGGCTGCCTGGTGAAAACCAATTGACCGCAATATAAATCTTCATCCTTTTTTTTTTCTTTAAGACAGGGTCTTGCTTTGTAGTTCAGGTTGGCCCTGAATTCATTTATGGCCCACGCTAGTCTCAAAATCAAGGCAGTCCTCCTACCTCAGCCTCCCAAATGCTAGGATTATAAGCATGTGCCATAACATCCAGTTTAAGACTAAACATTTTTATTCATTTATTTTATAATTTATTTATTTTTTTGGTAGTGGGGATTGAACTCAGGACCTTGCACTTGGGAAGCAGGCGTAATGCCACTGAGCTAAATCCTCAGCCTCAAGACCAAACATTTTCAAAGACACCAGTGATTGCCATTTAATTTTAAAATTTAGAAAGTTTGTTTATCCACTATATATAAAATATAATATACTATTGTTGATTTCATATAAGAAAATCAGAAGATATAGCATTGTTTTCAAATATAGATCAGCTGGTCAGAATGGTACATGCCTGTAATCCCAGCTATTTGGGAGCCTGAAGCAGGAATATTTCAAGTTCAAGGACACTAAGTTCAAGGGAATTTAGTGAGACTTTGTCTCAATTTAAAACAACAAAAACCCCCCAAAACATAGATCAATCTGGTCAATAAATACAGACCAATCTTCAAAAATTATATAATATTCTCAAAGTTGGATATACCATAAAATATGCTACTACTGTTTTAAATTTCTTGCTATTAAAATCACATTAATGTTTAATTTTAGCTTTGTAAATTTAAGTAGTTACCTAATTATTATTTTTTGGTACCAGGGATCAAACTTGGGGCCTTGTGCTTGCGAGGCAGGCAGTGGAACCAATGAGCTAAATTCCCAGTCCCAGTTACCTAATTTTTTGTAAAATTATCTTTCAAGGTATACTGTGTAAAATGTAGTTATAATATTACAGGATTAATAGTTATGTGATCGATCACCCAACATTGAAGACCTTTTTTCTTCATGTATTCAGGATTGAACCCAAGGGATTTTGCACTCAGCTTCATATCTAACTCTTTTTATTTCATTATTTTGAGATAAGGTCTTGCTAAGTTGCTAAATTGTCTAGGCTGCACTCAAACTTGCCATCTTCCTGCCTCAGTCTTTCAGTGCTGGGATTACAGATTTATACCACCATGCCATAGGGAAAAATGAAGCCCAAGATGCATTATGATTCAGGCTGTTTGTGATTTCCAGTGGACATTAAGTCCAAGTAAACAAGATTTCTGTGAAGGCACACCTATCAGTTCTCAGTGTAAATAACTGATATAACCAACTGGCATGTTGCCACTGTTATGCAGATACCTATACAGCAAACAGCTGGACTAAGCAGGCAGGCAAGGGGGCCTAAGGACTGCCACATGAGTGTGCTGAGCTTAGCAAATGAGATAAAGGCAGGTTCACACTTTCCAAGACTGTCTCTTCTGGCTGCCCAAATCTCAAGTGAACCTCCCCAGTCTGAACTAGTGACAAGATACATGGCCAGCTGCTGTTTTCATTTTCTGTAAAAAAAGGTCTATCATCGTCTCCTTAATAATTTTTAATTTCCCTCCTCATTACTTCAGCTATGCTGTCTTCTCCTTGAGGCCAGAATCATAGGCAACATTCTGATGAGAAGTCATAGTTTAGGAGTGTTGTATTTTGTTTACTTCCAGTAGTTAGCATTTTGTTGCCTGCTTTGGCCACAAGTACTTCACTTGCATAACATCTTCCTTAATATTCTCGTGGACACTGAAATCATGTGCTATTTTTTCACTCATACTGTTTTGTAACGTCATGTAAAAGGATGGAAAAAAATCACAAGGAATTCCTGAAGTAGTCTCTTCATTATTCTGCTCTCGCTGTAACACTATCGTTTACGGGAACCTTCGCCTGTTTTATAAAACTTCAAACCTTCAGGGCTATCAGAATCTTACGCGATTTTCGGATGAAGATAATTTATGTACTACTAGGTCATGGCGTTTCCTGGCTCTGAATCTCTTGCTCTGTCACATTATATAATGCTGCCTTCCCCACAGCAACTCAGAGACTCAGTTTTCTTCAAAACCAGTTCTTTCATATCAGCCTCTTTTGGAACAGAAGCCTTTCTCTGTTTATCTTCCTCAGTGTCTCCTCGGGAAATCACAAATTCACCATCCTATTGATAATTCATGAGGGCTTCTAAAGCATATGGTAACGCTGTAGGTAGCAAATATACTCGGGGAAGAGCAAAGAATGCACTTGACTGTTTCACAGTAACAAAAATCCCACCATTTTAACTCCATGGAAAACCCTGGTGCACCGTGTGTTCACGCTAGAAGACAGGGCCAACAACAAGCTTCATGCCATAATTTTCGAATTTGAACTTTATTTTTTCCTTATCTCTCGAGTTTTCTCCTCTGAGCGAAAGATGCCACATCCATTCTTACAGGTTTCTCTTTCAACTGACTTTGCCTTCCGCAGCCACTGTCCTTTCCTAGTGTCTTCCTCGCAGGATCGTCCAGAATTGTTCTCTTTCCTGGACACGTAGGTTGGCTGGGCAGCTGGGGTGAGGGGCTCCCTAGTTTCTCTGCCTTTGTTACTCACCTGCCTCAGGTCACCACGTGCTTCTCTTTGGGTGCCCCTGAAATGCTTCCTACTCTTGGACGTCCTTACGTAACAAAAGCCCAGTTTTTCCTTATCGTTTCTCGAGTTTTCAGGTTTTTTCTTCCCAGACGCTCGGCGGGAGGTGGTGTTTACTAGTGTATCCCCAAGCTTCAACTCCAGTCCTCAGACTTCCTGCGACCCTGTCTGGCCGCCGCATCCTCCTCTCCACACACCACACTGTGAAACCTCGAAGCGCTCGTGTCCTTCGAGCGCTCCCGGGACCAGTCCAAGAGGGCTCCCGCGACTCGCGCATGCGGACTCGGCGGCCGCAGCCCAGACTCAGCCACCTCCCCCAGGCCGGCGGGGTGGTTTACAGCCCTCTGACAGCTCCACCACCGACGGAAGCAGCCTTGTCTCGTGCTTCCACGTTATCCTATCAGAGGAGGGGCGGGGCAGCGGTCTCCGAAGCCAATCAGCGCCACCAGTCCAAGAGGGCTCCCGCGACTCGCGCATGCGGACTCGGCGGCCGCAGCCCAGACTCAGCCACCTCCCCCAGGCCGGCGGGGTGGTTTACAGCCCTCTGACAGCTCCACCACCGACGGAAGCAGCCTTGTCTCGTGCTTCCACGTTATCCTATCAGAGGAGGGGCGGGGCAGCGGTCTCCGAAGCCAATCAGCGCCCCAA